AATGGGGAAACAAAGAAACACATCCCAAATAAAAGAACAGAAGAAACCTCCTGAATTAGGGGAATTAGAGGAAATAGAGGTAAACAACCTATCGGAGACAGAGTTCAGAACATTGATTTTTAGAATGCTCAAGGAAATTAATGAGAATGAAAAGAAGGATAGAGAAATCATGAAAAACAACCAGGTAGAATTAAAGAATTCAATTACTGAATTAAATAACAAGCTCAATGGAATTACTAGTAGATGGAGTGAAGCAGAGGATCAAATCAGTGACTTAGAAGACAAGATAGCAGAGATCATCCAAGCAGAACAACAAAAAGAAAAAAGAATGAAGAACACTGAAAATAGTTTAAGAGAGCTGGGCGACAACATCAAATGCAACAACATGCACATCATAGGAATACCAGAAGGAGAAGAGAGGGAGCAAGGGATCGAGAACATATTTGAAGTAATAATGTCTGAAAACTTTCCTAACCTGGCATAGGAAATTGACATACAAGCCCAGGAAGTGCAGAGCTCTCCAACCAAGATGATCCCAAACAGGCCCACACCAACTCATTATAGTGAAAATGGCAAGGGTTAAAGACAAAGACAGAATCCTAAAAGCAGCAAGGGACAGACAAGAAGTTAAAGATGCTTTTGAACTATTGGACACAGATAAAGATAAAGCAATAGATTGTCATGAATTAAAGGTGGCATAAGAGCATTGGAGTTTGATGTAAAAAAAAAGCTGATGTACTGAAGATCCTTAAAGATTATGTCAGAGAAGCCACAGGGAAAATAACCTATGAATATTTTAATGAAGTTGTGACAGGCTGGATATTGCAAAGAGATCCACATAAAGAAATATTGAGGCATTTAAACTATTTGATGATGATGATTCAGGTAAAATAATCTTGAGGAATTTGCAACATGCTGACAAAGAATTGGGTGAAAACATGAGTGATGAAGAACTTCAGGCTATGGTAGATGAATTTGTTAAAAATGGTGATAAAGAAATAAATGAAGAGGAGTTCATTGCTATTATCACTGGTGACATTCAAAGAATTATAAGGATAAACACTAAAAATGTTGCAGTTATCATCTTATATTCTATTTTTGTGCTTGAGAGGCATGTTAAAAAAAAACACCACAACTTTGTTCATCTTTCCAAAAGGACCAAAAATAAGCATTTTATGTATTCATATTTTACTACTGTTAAGTTTCTCTGTATGAAAAATATTGTTAGCAATCTAATAGTTCATAGCTTTGTATTTATAATATAGTTTATATATATATATATATATATATATATATAAAGTTTAAAAAATTGAAATATGTGGTGAACATTCTTTGAAGGTTTTTTATTCAGCATTAGTAGTCACTTTTGTTTTGGTGCACTTGTTTCTCAAACTTTCATTAATAAACTGCTTATTTTATTAGTATTAAAAAAACAAAAAAACAAGACCCAACTATATGTTGCTTTCAAGAGACTCAGCTTAAAAGACAAAAGGGGAGGAAGATGATACTCCAAGTGAATGTCATCAGAAAAAGGCAGATGTAACAGTACTTATATCAGATCAAAGATACTTCAAAACAAAAAAGGTACCATAAAACAAAAACAAAAATGGACATTTTATAATGATAAAGGGGACAATGCATCAAGAAGAGCACCAAAACATATAAAGCAAATACTATCAGGCCTAAACAGGAAACTGACAAAAATATAATTATAGTAGGACGCTTAAATACCCCACTTTCAGCAATGGGTAGATCATCCAGACAGAAAAATAGTAAGGAAATATTGGACTTAAGTGATACACTAGATCAAATAAACTTAATTGGTATTTATTGAACTTTCCACCCCAAAATGAGAGAATACACATTTTTTTTCAAGTGCACATGGAACATTTAAAAATGTAGACCATATGTTGGGGCACAAAACTAGTTTTAATAAATGTTAGAAGGTTGAAATCATATCAGCATGTTTTCTGACCACAATGGTATGAAACTGGAAATCAACTACAAGAAGAAAGCTGGAAAAACCACAAATATGTCAAGATTAAATAACATGCTATTGAATAACTATTGCGTCAAAGGATAAATAAGAGATAAAAAGTTACACAGAGACAAATAAAAATAATACAGTATACCCAAAATTCTGGGATTCAGCAAAAGCAGTAATAAGAGGGACGTTTATAGCAGGAGAGGCCTTCTCAACAAACAAGAAAAATCTCAGATAAACAATCTAACATTATACCTTAATGAACTAGAAAAAGAAAAACAAATGAAGTCCCAAGTTAGTAGAAGGAAGGAAATAAAAAAAAGCAGAGTGGAAACAGATGAAATAGAGAACAGAAAAACAATAGAAAAATTAATAAAATGAAGAGCTGGTAATTTGAAAAGCTAAACAAAATTGACACACCTCTGGTTAGCCTTACCCAGGAAAAAGAGAGAAAATGCAAATAAATAATATCAGAAATGAAAGAAGAGACGTTACAACGGACACCACAGAAACACAAAGGATTACAAAAGAATACTATGAAAGGTTGTACACCACCAAATTGGATAAGCTAGAAGAAATGAAAAAATTATTAAAAGGATACAAACTTCCTAGACTGAATCATGAAGGATTGAAAAACCTAAAGAGACCAATCACTAGTAAGAAAATTGAAACAGTAATCAAAAACCTCCCAAGAAACAGAAGTCCAGGATTAGACTGTTTCACTGGTAAATTCTACCAAACATTCAAGGATTTAATTTAATTTTTTATATTATAATAGTTTCAGGCATACAAAACAACATACTGATTAGACATTTACACCCCTTATAAAGTAATAAGACCCCCCGCAAGTCTGCTACCCTTCTGACATCGTATATAGCTATTACAATTGACTATATTCCCTATGCTGTAGTTTACATGCCCTGACTATATATATATATATATATATATATATATATGTATATGGTGCCAAAAAAGTATACACATTTTTAAGAAAGGAAAAAACTATATATTGTATTACAATTTTAATGATGCTAGCATTCATTTGATTAATGTCATCTTTTGAATGAATGTCATACTGCACACACATTACTACCTTAATTCAATTCAACTTCAAAAAGTAATATATAGATAACATCTATTAAAATGCGTACATTTTTTTTGGCATCGTGTGTGTGTGTGTGTGTGTGTGTGTGTGTGTGTGTGTGTGTGTGTGTGTGTGTGTATATATATATATATATATATATATATATATATATATATATATATAGTTTAATACCAATCCTTCCCAACCTGTTCCCAAAAACTGAGGAAGAAGGAGTACTTTAGAACTCATTTCATGAGGCCAACATTACCCTGATACCAAAACCTGGCAAAAACAACACACAAAAAAGAAAATTACAGGCCAATTATCTCTGATGAACACAGATGTAGAAATCCTAAACAAAATATTATCAAATCAAATACAATGATACATTGAAAATATACTACATCACAATCAAGTGGGGTTCATCCCAGGGGCACAAGTGTGGTTCAACATATGCAAATCCATCAATGTGATATACCACATTAACAAAATAAAAGATAAAAATAATATTATCATATCAGCAAATGCAGAAAAAGCATTTGAGAAGATATTACATCCATTTATGATAAAAAACACTCAATAAAATGAGTATATAAGGAAAGTGCCTCAACAATAAAGGCTATATGTGATAAACCCTCAGCTAATATCATGTAAATGGTGAAAAACTGAAAACTTTCCCACTAAGATCACAAACAAGACAGGGAAACCCACTCTTACCACTGTCATTCAACATAATATTGGGAGTCCTAGCAAGAGCAATTAGGCAAGAAAAACAAAGAAAAGACATCTAAATTGGGAAGGAAAATTAAAACTGTCACTATTAACAGATGACATGATTTTATATATAGAAAACCCTATAAACTCCACACAAACACAAAAATAAACTATTAGAAACAATAAGTAAACACAGTAAAGTCACCGGATACAATATCAATTTGCAAAAGTCTGTTCTGTTTCTATAAACTAAGAACAAACATCAGAAAGAAAAAGGAAGAAAACAACCCCATTTATAATTGCAACAAAAAGAACAAAATCCATATTACCCCAAACATCTACAGATTTAATGCAATGCCCATCAAAATCCCAATGGCATTTTTCACAGAAATAGAACACAAATCCTCAAAATTGAGCAGAGAGAAGAAAGAATCAGGGAACTTGTTGACAGAGAGATTGAGATCATACAGTCTGAGGAAAAGAAAGAAAAAGGATGGTGAAAAATGAACAGAAACTAATAAACTTATAGGGTACTATCAAATATACCAACATACTCTTAATGGAAGTACCAGAAAGCAAGGAGATAGATAAAAGGGCAGAAAGAATATTAAATAATTAATGGCCAAAAATTTCTCAAAAGGTGAAAAACATTAAACATCCAGAAAGTTCTATGAACCCCAAGTAGGATCAATTCAACAAGATCCATTCAAAGACACATCATAAGAGAACTCTTATAAGGCAAAGACAAAGAGAGAATCTTGAAAGAAGAAACAGAAGGGACTCACCATTTACAAGAAATCCTTAAGTTTGACAATAGCTGATTTTTCATCAGAGACTATGGAGCCCAGCAGATAGTGAGTTGAAATATTCAAAGTGATGAAAGAAAAACATCTGTCAACCAAAATTTTTTATCTAGCCTATAGGTAAATTAAGAGAGTCTAACATACATAAATGATTATCTGTTCTAGAAAGATATATTCGGGTACTATGTAAAGTTATATAATAAAATGTTAAAAGTATTTTACCAGGGGCCGGCCGAGTGGCGCAATGGTTAAGAACTGGCCTGGTACGCCAGAGGGCCCCAGTTCGGATTCCACATATGAGGGCCAGTGACACTGCCCTCCACAGCTAAGATGCTGAACAACAACAGCTCAACCTGGAGCTGGGCTGCCGTGAGTCACCGGTGACGTAGGCTGCAGCCCCTATGGCAGTGGGTTGCCATGGGCTACCATATGTAGCCAGCAGCCAGCGTGACCGGCCAGCAGCCGCAGTGAGCGGCCGTCCAGAAGCCAGCGACTGATCTGCCTCACCTAGGAAGAGTGCAATGATGGTGCCAACTTGGGCCAGTGAAGCGACGTCCTCCACAACTAGACTGAAGAACAAAACGACAGCAACTTGTCTGTTCCCCTTCCCCCAATTCCCCAGCACTGTTCCCATCCCCCCAATTCCCCAATAAAAATCTTTAAAAAAAAAAAAAGTATTTTACTAGGGTAATAGTGGTAACTGTTAATGATAACTAAGAGTGACTCTATTCTTCCTGCATTTCTAAGTTTTATTTAATAATGTATATTTTTATTTAAAATAAGAAATGTTATATAGTATATCATAAAACAATAAGCTTGACATACATTATTGTATAATTTTCCAAATATTTTAGGTGGAATGAATGTTTTATTTACAGGTATAGAAAAAAGATACTGCATTTAATATTCTTACTCAACTAAGGAGTTTTTTTTTCACAATTAAAAAAATTGTACAGAAATAATTTCATGATATGTCATACCATCAGAATTATTGCAGTTACCTGAGAGCTTAAATAAACTTTATAGGGCTGGTCTTTCTGCCAAATATTGCTGGTATTTTCCACTAACACTGGTATATCTGGATTGTCATTTTTCACTTGATAAATTATGTGCTCGAATCGTGCTGAAGATTCCAATGGTTCAATTCCATAGGTGATATTTTCAAACTGAAGGAATCCGCTGAATATTTAGAAAGCAATGATATAAAAATCCTGCAAATGATCCCATCAAAGCTATAATCTAAAATGTTGTGAGAAATGATGAATCATAGTAACAAATATGTTTTAAACCCACTTTCTTTTACTATTATTTTAGTCCACCATTAGTAACCGAGTAGCCACATTTGCCTTAGTTTTTCTCATGTATTAAAGAACCAAATATATTGAAAAATATTTTGTGCGTTCTGTATAGTTGTCACATGCACTCAAGATACATTAATTAAGGCCAAGTATTTGCTGGGAAACAAGATATTTGTTGAGAATTCCAAGAATAAAGTTCATGTTCTTATAGAGGTTAGCATAAGGGAAAGCATGAATATAGAGTGGATATCTAAAAAGGTCTACATCTATGAAAACCACATTCAGAGAATGCCAATTTTCTGACTTGACATGAGTAAATTTTGGAAATCAGGCAACAAAAACCAAAAAAAAGTTAGAGAATGTCTTATCTGCTCTGGACTTGTTTTCCTCTGATAAACTTACCTCCTTCCTCTTGCCATCATTAATGATGAAAATCATTGATCTCTGTCCTTTACATCTGAGAGAACTTGTTTTCACCCATTCCCTTACCTACCTCTCCTTTCACTATGATCAATATCTATGAGCCTGTTTCTTTCTTTTTAAAAAAAATTCCAAATATAAGTGAAAACATATGGTATTTTTCTTTCTCTGACTCATTTCACTTAGCACAGTATCCTCTAGGGCCATCCATGTTGTCACAAATAGCAAGATTTCATTCCTTTTTTATTGCTGAGTAATATATATACATCACATTTTCTATATCCATTTATCTATCAATGGACACATAGGTTGCTTCCATACCCTGGCTATGGTAAATAATGCTAAAATGAACATAGGGGTACGCATATCTTTTCAAATTAGTGTTTTTGTTTTCTTTGGATAAATACCCAGAAATGGGATTGCTGGCTTAGATTGTAGCTCTATGTTTAATTTTTTGAGGTACCTCCACAGTTTTCCACAGTGGATGCACCAACTTGCAATCCCACCAACAGTGTATGACAGTTTCCTTTTCTCTACATCCTCACTAACACTTGTTACATATTTGTTGATTTTTTTTATAATAGCCATTCTGACAGTTATGAAGTGATATCTCATTGTGCTTTTGATTTCAATTCCTTGGTGATTAGTGATGTTGAGCATCTTTTCATGTGCCTGTTGGCCATTTGTATGTCCTCTTTGGAGAAATGTTTATTCAAATCCTCTAAGGGACCTTTTTAATTAGTTGTATATCTGTTACTGTGTGCACCTTAACTGTGAGCATACAATATGTGCCTGTTTAATAACAAATTAATGTCATTTTCCATAACTATTTGAGATAACTGATAGGTAATTCAACTATAATATTTGGGGAAATGTTCTAAAGTTTCCTTTATAGAAACTACTTTTTTTCTTCTGCACAGTATCTTTTTTTTTCTTTCTTCAAATTAATTTAATTGACTTTGGAAGAAAAGGAGTGAAGTCATCCTGTAGGAAAGGCCTTAGGTTAGCTTTTGCATCCATCCTTAGCTAGCAGGTTGTTTTGGTTATTAGTGCCTATAGCTTAGTTAAGAAAGTAATTTCTTTTTTTCCTGCCCCCATATTCACCCACTGAGCCTCTCTCTTTTTTAAAATTCAAGTTTATTGGGGTGGCAATGGTTAGTAAAGTTACATAGGTTTCAAGTGCACAATTCTGTAATACATCATCTAAAATACATCCAGTCAGGATTCCCTGGAGTGACATTTGAATAGGCACTAAGCGGCAGCTACTATTGCTAACATAAAAAGAGTAAGGCCATCATAAATGAGAGGCCATCAGATTTGGATTCTTCTTAAACCTTCCCAGATTTGTGTCTGCTAGCCACTAAATTTCATTTTAAAGTACATCCTAAGTTTTCCATACATAAATATTATCTAAGATGCTATTACCTGAGCCCAGAACATATGCTGAGTGTTGCAACTGAATTTGGAAAATCTGCAACATATCCTTGGTAATGACAATGCATCTGAAAAATAGTATAGAAAGGCAAATAAATAAATTCTTTATGAATAAAATATGTATTGTCAAGCATTGTCGATGACTCAAACTTTAAAAGAGTTTAAAATAGGATTGTGTATCATAGATTAATGCATATTTTCAGGGAAAAAAATGTTTTGAGCAACTCTCCTTACTTTGTACTACCTAGGTGCCCATGAACATTATCTTGGCCTGGGTTTCATCTTATTTCTATGTACAACAATCAGCCATATAACATGTTGATTATCTGGAATAAAATATTTATATTATACTGTAATTATGGAACAAACAGATCTCAATGGTAATGATACTTCCACTTAATAAAGAAACATTAGATAATAAATGTTTAAGACATCTGAGTATTACCTTAAAATAAGAAGAATCAGAATGCAAAGATCCAGCTTCTTTGAATGTATAAACCAAAAAATTCTGAGATAAGAAGGAGCTAAGTAAAAAAAAAAAAAATTAAAACTGGTTGAGTCATGAATTTCTACAAATATAAACATTTACATAAAAATAAATGTGAAATCTGTAAGAATCATATAATAATATGCTTTAATTAGAGTAATTTTAGTGTGGCATAACAGTTTAAATTTGTAGAACTGGTATATCAGAGAGTTCAGGCTTTGTTAACACTGAAATAGACTGCAAATCCACTGTACCAGATATCTGTGTGTGGGCCTGCATATGTCTTCATTCAACAAATATTTACTGAGTGCCTACTATTTGACAGATTCTCTTCTAGGCAGTGGGAGACAGCAGTAAACAAAAGACAAAATCACTGGTCTTCATGATAGTGAGGGACACATACTGCTAACATTTTAGATGATGATTAAAAAAAAAAAAGCCTGGGTGAGGGAGATTTGTTGCAAAATGTGCATGGAAAGCTCACAGGTATTATGACCTATTAGATGACTAAAAACTTGAACAAGCCCATGGACTCACACAGAAATGTTATCCCAGGCAGAGTTAGGAGAAAATGCAAAGATCTGAGGCAAAAATATGCATTGTGTATACAAAAAAAAACCAAAACAAAACAGCTAGGGGACAATATGCCTAGAGTAGAGTGTGGATTAAAGACAAGAGACAGTAAGAGATGGTGTCACAGAGATGAGAAGCCAATGGAAGATTTTGAGCAGTAAATGACAGGATCAGATTAATATTTTAATGGAATCAGACTGAATGCTGTGTTGAGAATCATATGCAGAAACAGAGAAGCCAGATAGGCTACTACAGCCATCCAGGCAAGACATGATGGAAGCTTGAACTAGTATAGTAGCAGTGGTAGAGGTCCAATTCTGGATATATTTTGAAGGTAGAACTCATGAAAGGTAATAGTCCATTAAATGTGGGGTAAAACAAAAGAAAGAAAGATGTCAAGGATAACTCCAAGGTTTTTGTTCTGAGAAACTGGAAGAAGAGAATTGCCATTTACTGAGATGATTTTGGAAAGGATAAACTTTAGGAGGATCAGAAGTACATTTTGGATATGTTAAGTATGAGAATCTTACTAAACACTTGATTAGTAAATAAGTAGTCAGATAAATCAATATGGTGTTCACTGGAGAGGAATAAACTAGAGATGTTAAGTTTGGGAATAATCAATACATAAATTGTATTTAAAGCCAAGGGACTGGATGAAATAACCAGGTGATTGAATATAGCTAGGAAAAAAACAAGATTCAAAAATAGCAGCATGGAGTTCTCTGAGATTGGAGAGATAAGTAAGAATATGAAAAATAAACAAACAAGGGCCGGCTGAGTGGCTCAGTTGGTTAAGAGCTCGCTCAAGAGTTTGAGCTCTGAGCAACAGTGGTTCGAGTCAGCCCGAGCTGAGTA